GTGATGTACCAACTATTGCATTATGCTGAAAGGAAGATGGCCATGCAGAAATGTTCGCTTTGAGAAGAGAATAAAAGTGAACCTCTTTTTACAGGAAAGATCTGAGCCTACACGTTCACACATCTATCACACCTAGAGACTACTGTAGCTTATTTGGCAGGATAAGCTGTTATGACGTTTGGAAGTGACAGTTAATTTTTCGTGATCTAGAAATATTATGAAAGAACTGTAACGAGTTGCACAAATTGAAACTACAGTAGTTTGAATTTGTGCCTTGACTGATTGTAGGATGTAATGGCTGGCAGCTACGTGGTTAAGATGAAGCACACACGGACTTATCTGTTCCCAAGACTTTTCACAATGACGACGTATGGTGTTATAGCTTCAACAGCCTTCTTATTGGTTTTTTACATTCAACTGTGTTCTAAAACTATCTTATATCCTTCTTCAGGATTCACCCCTATCTGTGGTTGACACTACCAGGGTCAAACTCAGCACTTTGGAGGGAGACGACAGTTTGCCAGCAACCAGATCACCCTTACCTCCCTCTCCACCCCCGTCACAAGATATGTCACCTATGAGGTTGTCTGCGACCCCTGCTGGGCTGCAGAGTGGAGAGAGGTCTTCTGACGACAGGGTGAGTACCAGCGCTGGTGTCAGTCCAATGGGAGTGCGGTTCTCTCGTGTGCCAGATTCTGTTGATACCACCATCTCAGAATTGAATGTACGCCGCCTACCAAGAAGAGACGAAGAAGACGGAAGTGTCAAAGGTTCTGTGATTGGTGAGGACAGTTCGTCAGACACTACATCTAGAGACAATGTTGGTGTTGTCTTGAAAAGGTGAGATCCTTTGTTAGTATTTGTTTTTATGCACAGGTGCTGTGCTCTGCCTTTTGATTTGTCTCAATCTCGAGTAGCCCCAGGTTCAATAGTGTTTATGAAATTTAGTGGAAAGACATGTTGGTTTGTTGGCCTGCTCTGTATTTTTGAATGTAGACAGCTCATAATATTCATGCAATTTACTACGAAGACTGCTTTAAACACAGACACAGAAAAGCGTTTGTGAAGAGTTGTTAGAATACTGGCACTCAAAAGTGCTTAGAATACACATATTGAAAATTATTTTTGAAGAGTTGCTTAAAGTTATGCACCCAAAAGTGTTGATGGAAAAAGTGGAAATACTGCATAGAATATACAGTCAGCAATGTTGGAAATGCTTGAGCCAAATGAAAGGCAAAACACGGAATGAAATGTTTATTGGAGAAGGGGTCTTCTCATTTAGATTTTAATGTAGGGTGCAGATCTTTAGAGCGCTTTCAGATTGAATGTCGTCAAACAAAATCTAAAGTAATCCTAAAGGCCATTTAGAAGAAAGGGAAATACCTTTAAGGACCAACGAGAACAACCAAGCTGCCGTAAGCGCGGGAAAACGACAACAACCAAACTGCCGTAAGCGCGGGAAAACGACAACAACCAAACTGCCGTAAGCGCGGGAAAACGCGGACGACTAAGTTGTGATTGGCTTTAGTTTTGCGTCTTATTGGTAGAGAAAGTGACGCAAGTTCTCTGGACCAATCACAGAGCGAAGTAAAGCGAAACCGATGTAATCCCGGATTACCTTGGATACTCAGTTGAAACATGTATGTTTGATTTTCTATCCTTTTATCAGGCTTGAGTATTACACCGTTCCTCCAGTGCAAGAACTTAACCAGCAGATGGACAGTAACGGAGATATATTTGTGAATGACTTTGTGGTTGGCCGCGAAGGTTATGGAAAAGTCAAATTTTACGGCAGAACCAATGTCGCCGGACTCAACCTGGATGAAATTGGTGTGTGTTGATATGAAGTCAAGTTTGCTTGGTGTAGTAATATTACTAACAATCAGTTTTTGTTATCTTGATAGTAAGTGCCTTGAACCTGTTAACTTGTAACTCCAATGGATTTGATAAGTAATTCTCTTTCTTGCTGCCGTTTGGGTTTTTTTCATATATCTTTTTTAAAAGGATTGCGGATCACAACAAGATGATATCCCTTAATCTGATATTTTTTCTGAAGTCTCAGCCCTTGTTTCTTTGATGATGTGGTTATGATGTAAAGAGAGGTCTTGTCTCGAGTTGTATTTGTTTTGCTTTGATTTTCCGAAATAGTGTTCTTCAGGCGCCGTGAAATAGAAGTTTATCCTGACACGTACCTCAATAAACCTCCTGTGGGCGAAGAACTGAACAAGAAAGCAGAAATCACTCTGGAGAATGTCTGGCCAAGTGACAAGACTACTCGTGAGCCAATAAAAGTGAGTTGATAAGGACTGAGAAAAAGATAAATTATAATTTTGATGGTTAATTGTACGCTTTTAAATTACCTCGTGCAGAAACAAATCCAGCTCTTGAGTTTCAATACACTTTTCAAAGTTTTCTAGACTGCTCTTCAGTTAAAAAATACTTTTTATGTTGTATCTCCACAGAGTCCTGAAAGACTCAACCTTCTCGGCTGGCAAAAGCGAGTGGAAACTGCTACCGAAAAACTTGGAGCAACTTTTCTTGATTTCAACCTTCACACTGGATACTGGGTGTTCACGGTAAGTTTTTTTTCAGAAGTGCACAGTTGCTGAGTTTGCAGAGCAAAATTTCCAGGTTAGAGCACTTTTTGATTTAGTACGCAAAACCAAAACTGAAGCAATCGCAACAGCCAATCATAGGAAGGAAATTCTCACGAAGAGCCAATGAGATCTCAAAGTTAAGACAAGCAAACCGCTTAAGCGCGGGAAAACGCAGGTGACCAAGTTGCGACTTGTTTTAGTTTAGCATCTGATTGGTAGAGAGAGCGACGCGAGTTTTATGGAGCAATCACAGAGCGAAGTAAAGCAAAACCAATGCAATCTCAATGGAAATTGTTCAGACATACCTCTTATTACTTTTATTTTTCCCAAACTGTTTTTCTTTTAAAAGGTGGATCATTTCACGCGGTATAGAATGGACGACGAATTTTTCGATGATGAACAAGCCCAAAAGAAACTGAAGAGGCCTCCATTAAAATCATACTCACAGGTAGAGTTCTAGAACTGTATTGTTATTGCATCTTCATTGTGGGAAATCACGAGGGCAATAATTTGTAGAGCATCGTCCCCTTGATCTAACGTTTGGGGTTCTAGAGCTGGCCCAGTCAGTGTGTTGACCACATGGGCAACACAATACGCTCACAATGCCTTTGTCTGCCCAGGAGTATAAATGAATACCGGTAAACTAATGTAGAAAAGAAACAGGGATAAGGGCAGGTGTAATGCCGCGGGCACAAGAGGATACAACACTTCTAGTCCCTTCATAGTGCAGTTGCTAAGCTAACCTTGGACAGCTTTGTAAGTCTTTCTTGGGTGCAGACTTAAGTCTTCACTTAATTATTTTCCATAACCGTGCAGAAGTTTAGTATGATTTGTTATCTCTGTAAGGATCTCGAGGTCTCTATTGAAAAGGAAAAAGAGGAAATCTTTAGACGTCTGCAAGAAAAGAAACAACAGTTAGAAGTTTATGAGAAGAAAAAACAGCAAGCTGCTCTCTCTTCCCTAGACCAGGATAGTGTCATGGCGGACATCGATCAACAAACTTTTCCTGGTATGTTGCTTAAAACTATCACGAATATGCATTTGTTTCAAACGCGCAACTTTCAAAAAAGACACGCAACTGTCACTAACGCGCATATGTTAGCGAGTAGTTTTCACGAACAAGCTACTGTCTCGAACAAGCTACTGTCACAAAGACGCAACTGTCACGCTTACAAAATTAAGGTGGCTCGCGTTCAAATTCAAATTTAAATCTGTGGAAATCCAAGGGGAAATCTGAGCCCCTTTACAGAATCAATTTCTTAGGAAATTGCAGTTTCACCTGTTTGAGGATAAACGTTTTTTTCCAGAGGAAATGCTCGAAGATCAAATTGGAGATGGTAGTGATGGTGAAGAAGAGGTTGACAGCTCCCCTGCCAGCCATCAGTTGGCATCAGCACTTGGAATGAATGCACAGAGGATCCAAGTCATGAAAGCATCATTCTTTGCCGATCCGTCTCAACTCGCAGCACCCTTCGCTAAAGATAGTCCCACTGTAGACAAGTCTCTTTTCAGTTCATCTTTATCAAAAGCTGGCCATTTGAAGAGTTCTGTGTATCCACCATCCATGCCATTAGGTCCTTTGCTGTCCCCTAAAGTACAGCGCTCTGTTGATGAGTCCCGACAAATGTCCCAGTCACTGTTTGGCAGCCCCCAGATAGGTAATCTAAAATGTGTTATCAAATTGCATTCTCTCACTTAGGCTCAGAAGTTTTTGCGGTAGTCAGTAAGGAGAATTTCCATCTTGATTGCTGGGTTGTAGAAGCGCTAAAAGGAAGTTCCATTTCGCTCAAAAACTAAGATTTTGCGAATCAGATGTAAATGGAGCTGTAATTTGATTTCCCATAGCACATTTCGAGCGATCAGAAGGGTAAAGATGATTTTGGATGAGTGCTGTAAAACCAAAACCAGAACCAAAGTAAAACGGACAGCTTAACACTTTCACCAGAGGTTAACTTAACTTTTGCTACTTTATATACGATGTATTTCACAGTATATAAATAGGTTAGAATTCTTAATTTGTTACTGTTCATTTTTTCTGTAGGGGTCTATCCTCTTCGGTACCCCTTGGTGCACGATGTAACCCCAGTAGCCCCTCCCTCACCAATTCAGCTTCCAAGTGCCATCGGCACAGCGATGGACATTGGAATTAAAGTCGTTGGCGCTCGGAATCAGTTCGGTCTTGTCCCTAAAAAGGACTCCCTTGTCAACGGTAAAGAGAACCTTATTGCCGATGCAGGGTTGATGATGGGCCGCTCCTTTCGTGTTGGCTGGGGGCCTGGATTTGTCTTGGTCCATAGTGGTACTCCCTTGGGGAAACAAGAGGGAAAACCAGCCCCCCCCACCTCGGTAGATTTTTTGTCCATGAAGCCTAGACCCAGCAGCAGTGAAGGATCGGCGCCTTTTGGAGTGACAATAGAGAAACTGAACGTAGCTTTACATGACAGTCGTGGCCCAAGTGGTGTTGTGTTGGTAGGTACATCATTAATTGTGTTCGTTTACATTCTCTTTCACTGGTGGCTCATTGACGGAGCATTTTAAAGCTGTGTTATTATAAATAAGGGCAGTGAATGGTTTGAACCAGTGCCGTGTGAGGGTAGTGATAAAAAAGACTGTTGTGGGTCACAGTGGTTGATATGAGACAACTTTTTAGAATTTGACATTAGACTCAAGGGCAGAGTATAATAGGGTAGTTTAGTGTTATCAACTGAGTTGACAAGGTAAATTGGCCACCGTAAAGGGTTTAAAAGCTGTCATTTCGAGCGTTAGTTCTTCGTCAGAGCGATTGACGAACGGCTAGCGCTCGAAACGTCAGATTTTAAACTCTTGACGGTGGCCAATTTACGTTAACAACTCAGATGATAATACAGAATTACCCTGCTATACTCTCCCACCAACGCAGCACCACAGTTTCTTTAGAAAACTTATCCCCTTTATTCAAGTGGAGAGGTGTTTGTCAATCGTGAAATCAGCTTAAAACCGTAAACAACCAACAAACTTAACAGAAAACCTAACTTTATCGATGGATTGAAATACCCCAGTAACAACTGATTTACACTACAGGAGCATGTAAGGCAACAGCATGAAACTGTACTTGAAGCACAGTTACAACACACTGTGGTGTCCAGTGAAGAGCACTGTCCGTTCTTTCAACCTTCCTCTGGCGTCAAAGCCTTGCACCATCACGCAGAAGTCGCCCGAAGGAACAAGGAAGCTACAGGTAACGAATAACGGGTCTTTGAAAGATTTGCGGGTGTTTGCATGATTAACGCGGAGATACGATCTGTTTCGCAGTCTGCAATGTGGCGCAAGGGCTTAATAGGTAGATAACCTCTATTTAGAGTGAAGATCCCACTAAAATTTGCCGCACTCTCAACGTGTGGCTTCGTAACTCAGTTGATAGTTGCGGCGTAACTAGTATCAGGGAGGACTGGGGTCGAATCCTGCGGTATGGCGTGGGGAGGCATGAGGTCGAACCTTGCCGCAGCCTGAACTTTTTTCGAGCTCATTTTTCTGCAATCGCCTAAATTGCAGCTCACTTGCGAAGAATATATTTTCAATTGAGATAGAGCGTTTACCGCTATCAATGTTCCCGTGTTTACATCCCATGAAAACTCTGAAATCAAGCTCCTCTGACTGTAGCAGTATTATATAGCTTTAGAGCAACGTTTATTGCAAACGCGAGCGGCAGAGTTTATCTTTATTTTCGGTCAGCTTTTTTTAGTCCTTGAAAATATCTAACAGGAAAGAAAAATTAGTTATTTCTTCTATTCGAAATAAATGCAAATATTTTCACATCATCGTTCACACAGTAGAATTGAAGATGGCCAGCAAAGTTCAGTTATTGCCGTTTGCCGTTCATTTAAATTTGGTTACAAAACTCTCTATCTACCTTAAAGCTCAACTATTACTTATGCTATTAATTGTGCTAATTTTAGACCCAGGGCCCCTAAGAGATGGAGCTGAACAGATTTGTTTAGTTTGGGACCTGGTTGTTGCGCTTTGGGGCAAACTTACGGAAGACGACGACGACGATGATGATGACAGTAAGTTTTTATTTGCGATTACCTCACGTTCTTTTTTCTAACGTTTGTTCAAAAGTCTGGCCTACTTCAAGTAATTTGCAATTTGGTTATATTCTTAGGCGATATTGGGGCTGAAGAAGACAGAGAAACATATCAGAACCGTGTGGCTAGGAAACAGGCTCTGTCAAACTGGTTAGCTGAGGCTGCCAAAACGAAAATTTCCCAGGAGGTGGATAATGCGAATTTCCAGGTATTCTGAATGTGCAAAGCTTTCTTACCGTGCTGGGCTTCAGCAGTGGCCCTGCCCTTCTATGTCTAAACCTCCCTCATATCGTCTTTATCCCTTTCAGGAAAGTGATCATTTGAAATCCATCTTCAGCTATTTGACCGGAAAACAGATCAGCCGGGCCTGTCGTGAGGCGCAGCTTCATGGTGATTATCGACTTTCATTGTTGTTGTCACAAGTCACAGGGAACACATTCACCAGAAACTTGCTGTACAAACAACTGGCGGATTGGCAGGAAATGAAGGTGCGTGGGAATCAGTCGATTAAAAAAAAAAACAAAACAACAACAACAACAACAACAACAACAAAACAATATTAAAGGAAGGAGAGTTTGCTTCGTGTATATCGATTCTTTTCGAAAGGTAGCCCGTTCAATTCCCTAGAAAAAGTTGGGGTCTTGGCGGGGAACATTCCTTATGTGAAGAATGCAGCCCGGGTACTCGGACACAACATGATACTCTCGGCAGCGTAGTTGAAATTTCGCTTAAGGAAAGAAGACAAACTCTGGGTTATCGGGAAAGCTTAGATTGATTGACCCATATGTTGACGCTTTAAGCGAGTGCGTAAAAGAACACGCCAGTGGAATCTATCTTAACAGGATTTTGTCCATTCTTTCACCAGGCGGATGTATTTATCAACAGAGAAAGAATTAAAATCTACGCTCTGCTTGCTGGTGTCATGGTATGGGAGATATCACGTGACCCAGCCAGTCAAGTTCAAAGTCTGATGCGTCAAGAGGTCAACGTCTGTGAGGGACTGGATTGGAAGAGAGTACTGGCGGTACACCTGTGGTAAGCGAGACTGCTTGCTTATAAAACTCCTTTTTAAAACTAATATTTAACAATTTATTCTCCTGTTTCATCGCAAGGTACTTCTGTTCACCAACGTGTTCAATAGCTGATGCGTTGCAAGCGTACGAGTCCTCATTTAAGGTTGGTATCTGCTGTGGATATTATTTTTTAAACAAAATTTTTTATTAACAAAGCTGTGAATTACTTGTGGAAAAAAAAGAAAATGTTTGAACCTTCTCCTTGGTTATTTGAATTCCTTACCCCTTTACCATTTGAAATGTTGCCTCACACTAACATTTCCTCGCACGCTCTCAGGGAAGTTCGAGTCACGGCAGATATGGTGCTTCTCCTCATCCGCCTTATGTCGAAGAAGACGAAGAAGATGAGGATGAAAACAAGTTTATAACAAGAGATACCTGTTATCACTTGTTAAAGCTCTACTGCAAAAGATCGCACAGACTAGAGAGACTACTATCACCATCAACATCCACTGCTCTGCAACTAGATTTTAGATTGAGGTAAATAGTTTTACTTTTGTTAGTATCATTATTATCATCATCATCATTATCAATACCATCATTGCTTCCTTCGTTAAATATTTTTTAGAGAGGCAGCGGAACTGTCAAACATGCTATTTCAACATGATGTTAGAGGAGAATGTGTTATCGTTAGACCGGAGCCCAAAGTTGGTAGTAAACCTTTGCCCATTTCTTACTCTACCATCAAAAAGTAATGGAAAATGGTTTCTTTTTAGTTGGCATCTGTACCAGGTTCTTTTATCGCTCCACTACACTCATCTTTCCGAGCGACACGCGGCCATGTTACACTGTGAGTTTGCTGCCCAGCTGGAGGGACTGGGTCTGTGGCATTGGGCGGCGTTTGTCTTGTTGCACATTGAGGAACCAACCAGGTGTGTTCAATATTCACGGCAAGAAGTGTTCAAATCTGTCGATTTAATAGCAGTGATTTTCTTGAACATCTTGAGATTCTGTTAAAACAGGAAGGGAGAAGGGTTCTGTGTGTTTGTCGCATTTTAAATTCTACTTGGCTGAAAGCTTTTTGTTTTTTCAGGATTGCGTTTTGACTGAGGAGTTCCTATTGTTCTCGTTCCCCACTGAAAAGTCCCATTTGAATCAGCGACTTCTAAATGTTAAAAACTGGCGCGCGTTTTTTAAGCTCGCTTCGCTCGCAAAAATTAAGCTTAGTTCCTGCGCACGATCAAAAATATATCTATTTCTGGTTTATGATTGAGAAATCCTTTCACGTTTCGTTAACGTCATCAGGCGAGAGAATGTGGTTCGGAGCCTTCTGTGTCGTTACTGTTGTGTGTCAGAGGATCATGCTAACTCAGAGAAAGAACGTTTCATGTTGAATAAATTGAAAATCCCTGCGGAATGGATACACGAAGCTAAGGTATGGTGATTTGTTCTGGGAAAAGAGCCGTTTTGTTTCCTATGACGAAAGTCTGTGTTAAACATCCAAAGCTATAAAGTGATGTTTTATACATTGGAAGTAACATTGTTTTTTGTTGTTGTGGTTTTTTTTTTTTGTGTTTGTTTTCTGTAGGCCTTGCGAGCGCGCTATGAAGGAAAAACTCGTGAGGAAGCTTTCCACCTAGTCAAGGCTCGCCACTGGAGTCTGGGGCATAGCGTTATTCTGCGCAGTCTCGTTAGTGACGCAATTATTAACGGTAAGAGACAAATATATGAACAATATTCGATAGAAAGTTTTGAGGAAAAGCGTTCGGACGTGATACCATGAATTGTGGTGCTACGTGAAACTGGTCATTTCAAAACAACAATGGATATTTAGATTATTTCATCTTCTTTTTTGCTGTTGTTTGTTTAGCGGAATACGACTTTTTAAAAACTTTATTGAAAGAACTGGAAGCACGAGATCGCAGCTCGACCGTGAAGGATTGGGCAACAGGAGGGCAGGTCAGTTATTTATCAATACAAGAACCGAGCTTTTTATTTCCCTTCTTTAGCGTTGAAGTGCTGATTCCTTGCTCTTCAAGACTATAGTGGATGTCGCTTGCGTTGATCCTTCACCCTCCTTTTTGAGGGGTGTGGGGTGTAACGAATTGGTAAATTATATCATTAATTCGTGAACAGCTTGTGCCGGCCACTTAGTCAGCGGAAACGGGCCAAAAAGTTGGCGTACGATTGACGACAGGATTAATCCAACTGTAACTGACATTTGTTGCTCGATTGCTGCTTGTCATTACTGAAAGAAGGCCTAGAACAGGCTGATTTGAAGATAATGTCTTTCACTGGCACTAGTGCTTTGAACTATTGTGAGTCTTTCGCATTTAAATGGCAAAGATTTGCACTGTATGTGAAATACGCACTTTCAGAAAACTTCTTGGCAGTAGAATAAAGATGAAAGTGTATAATATTGCCAAGAATGGTTGCTAATTGACCTCTAAAGACATGTATTTAGGCTGTTAAACACCTACACTTGATTTTGTTGTTTAGGTGTTTCTGGATTATCTTTCTTTGATGGAGAAGTTCCAAGACATTTCAAAGGTAAAAACTGATGTGCGCAGGTTATTTTAGTAGTGATTGGTTTTTTACATACAAGTAATTCTGCACAGGTGAAAATGAGAACACGGAAAGTTTTCTTTAGAATACCACTGAACTGGAAGAATCCAGTATTTTAAGCGATTTGCTATTAGAGCAAATGTTAAATAAATATTTGTTTGTCATCTCCAGGAGAACTTTGTGCCAACTAAGTATGACTGGGAAGGCATCTATGCTGAAGTCACGTCTCTTTGTTCGAGGATCAACAGTTTAACATCGGACATACCCAAAGACATGTAAGTACAATATCATTTATTCAGAGTGAAAACCGCTGTGTATATGGTTTGTTCAAGAAACACGTGGCGTTGTAGAGGTCAACCTTTTGATACGTAATTATTCTGGCCTGGATGAGTGGTCTTGTTAACGGGGTTGTTGTTAGTGCCCAGGTGCCCATTTCTCGAAAGTCCTGGTAACTTAAAGGAGTAACTTAACGGAGTCTCGGTAACTTAACAGAGCTTTTAGTATGTCGCACTGCATTTGCTGATAGTTCTTGTGATGCCTTGTTTGCTATTTCAGGTTGTGTCAATACGACATGGCTAAGATGTGCGCTAATTTCTTGAAGATTGTCTTGAAGGAACTGGTGAGCAAACCCTTTGTTTGTCTGTCAATCCATTTGTTTGCTGATGTTATGAATATTCTCCGCCCGTTGTGAAAATTTTACTCTATGTTCTCAGAATGTTCATCGTTTGGCGGCATAACTTTTGCATTCGTGGTCTTTGGAATTCTTTTTAAATGCCTTGTAATCATCGGCTGTTTGGGGAAGTAGAAAAGTGTGAAACGTTTTCAGAAGTACTCTTTCTTGCTGTTGTGTGACTGGAAACAAAGGTGGAGACACTAGCTATAGGGGAGTCGAAAAAGAATACAGTTTTAGCAGCTTGCTTTTCCTTTTTATTCTCACACAGACGGACCTCACCGATGAAGGAGAGGCCCTTTTGCCAACACATATACTAGTTCCTCACGTAACCAAACTCCCGATGCCCGAGGACTGTACCGTAGAGGAATTACGTCAACTGATTCCGAGCTACATCCAGGAGATCGCCGCTGAGAATTGATACTGCAGGCAGTAACGTGTATAAAATGTTGGTTCAATATTTAATGATGAATCGAAGTGCAACACGCCATCAACCAAGACAATACCGTTTTCGTGTGAAGGCAAAGACAGACTTAGGGCTTAAGTTTATGTAAAAGCGTAGCTTTAAAAGCAGCGCAGTTCCGTGTGACCTTTGTTTTCAGGAGCTGTTTAGATGAAAACGGGAAACTGTAAATATTTTCTTCTAACCTTCTAAGCAATCACTTAACCTTTGCGCGCAGTTTGTCGTAAGAAACTTTTTAGGTTTGAGTCTTGTATCGCATGAACATCTCCTCAAAAGCAGCTTCTGGATTATTCGCGAATCTTTTGGAGTCGCGTCCCTCTAATTTCTCGCTCAGTGATAGACCTTGAGCGAAAATGGTCTGAACCTTTCCTCCTCAGTAGTCTTTCTTTCAGGGACATTTGCTCCTAAATCCGACCGACTGATAAAAATTCAGTCTTAGTCATTGAGATATATGTTTAAATATCGTCTGTTTTATTGTAATTAATTTGATATATTGCTTGTAATTTCCTCTATATCTGTGACGAGAATTTTGAATAAAATGGCTTGTTCTTTTTTCTTTTATTTGAATAGCTGATTGGTCCCAAAAGTACTGGTAAAGTTGATCAGCTACTAAGATTGAAATGTTAGTTCAGATACTCAGGCGAGATAAACACACGACAAACTGAAATTTTAGAGTAAAAGTAAAAGAATTAGTGAACAGGGAGACCAGCGAACTTTTCCTGCTACGGATATTAAATACTCTGGCGTACTCTTGTACAGAGAGAGGCACTGTCATAGTTACGTGTCTTCCTCAAGAACATAACAAAATGAGGCCAAGGCTGGAACCCAGACCTTCGATTCAGATTCCTGCGCGCTAACTAGTTTGCTGTCCGGTCTGTAAAGTACTTACAAATGTAATTTTCAATCACCTTCACATGTGAAACTGTAAACCGTTAATTTTCAACACTCCTCTTCCGTGTTCTTAGTGTTTTATCAAATACGAGATAAAAAATTTCATCGTCCAAAAGATAATCGCTTCAACTCAATAGACCCAAAAGCACTTGTGTCATTTGGTCAATATTTGAAATGGAAATTCATAAAACCACAGTGAATGGCGAGCAAGGAACCTGCCAACCCTTACATGTAATAGGTCGCAGACAGAATATTTAACTCAATCTAAATTTCGCCTAATAATAGTCTAGCTCCTCTTGCCACAGGAGCCAGACGCTAACTACAGGCAACAAAATAACTTGGGGAGAAGGATAAAATTGATTTGTATTATTATTATTTTTGCAAATTGAAACATGATTAGCGTGCGGCGACTTATGCTACTCGTAAGAGCATTTAACTTCTTGAATTGACCAGAATCGCCCTTGAACTAATGGGTGAATTTTCAATTCTCTAACTGATAGCTTTTGATCTAACCAAAGACCTCATTGTAAGGAGTAAAGATGTTTTGTAATCCTGGTCAAATATCAGTGATTTAACTCGAGGAGTCTTCAGGAAAATTAAGAGACATCTCGACATTGAATGAAATGGAGTACTTTGTCTAACAGGAGAATTTTGAAATTAGATTTATTAATTAAAGTGTTGGAAGTTCTTATTCATAAGGGTTGATATGGTTAGAGTAATAAATTTTAGGAAAGAAAGAATCTTTAATCGACCCTTAAGTGTTCAATTGTGTATGATCAGACATAAATATTGTCACTTTTGATGTGGGATTCCCAATTTGAAATACTTCATTTGAAAGTTAACTGTTATAGTTCAAGTAATGTAGTCCTGCATGGATACAGCATTTATCGAGAAAAAGGCATAGTGAAAATATCCCTGATACGGTTGGCTCTCGTTGTAAAGAATCCATTTATTCAGTTCGACCTCTGATTTTTTAACTCGGGATTCAACTTTAAATCATTCGTAATTCAGTTGCAAACTTGCTGAAATAAGGAGTTAGATCTAACAAAATATCCATCAAATGATAACGAACGGGATCTGTGAAACAAAATCCCACGGCCAGACCCAAACTTCCACCTAGATTAGCGTGTAGGAAAGAATTCGGGTCTGTTGAGATGGAAATGTTATCCTCTTCCTTCTCTCTAAGGACAATTTTTTGATTGTTTTTTTTTTTTTGGATCTATTCACATGATTTTTTCGAAGTTATATTTGTTCTTCTATTACGTGCCTCAGCACTTACCAGTCTCAAATTTAGCTTCCTGATCTCTTCATTAAAACCGACACTAGGCAATAACAAGGAATATTGGAATCGACATTCGCGCCAAATCAGTACAGAATAGAAACCTTAAATTGGAAGACAACTTTGGACTGGACTGAATAGGGAAGGATATCCGCTCACAAGCACAAATAATTTCTTTTGTTTCCATTCAGTTTTGTCTCGACTCAGACAATAGATAAGGAGACTCTGTCGCATCTTTATTCCCAGTAATTGCATCAGTGAACTATAAAATGAAAGTTTTAATCACGGTGTTAAGGTTTGTATATTTGCCGCAAAGCCGAGTGGAAATAAATGTAAGTATTATTGTAGGTTGATTGAGTTTGCCAAAAGTAATCGGATCTCTGAAGTAGTCTTCCCTTGCTCTTAAGACAATTCCTGCTTAGTAGTTTAGTTGGTGGTATGACTCGACTTCAATCTGGAAAGTATGGGTTCGAATCCCGTCGAAGCCTGAATTTTTCTTAGTATTCTTTTCTGTATTTGCTAAAGTTGAAGCTTACCCGCGGGGATTATTACTTTATTTGATTTTCAATTCACTGGTCAAATGAAATTTATTTCATTACAAATTGTGAAAGGTAGTAACAAAATACCTTTGTATCAGGACCGAACACCAGATCAGATCTCAGTCAAATCTAGAGAATTTTCGTTTGGCGAGAATCAGCTGACTTAATTCTTGGAAACTCTGTTTGCAGGATTGAAATATAAATAGATCGTCTTTGCGTCCGATAGATCAATGAAATTTGAGCATAACGTGTTCTGAAAAAAAAAAAAAACATTTTCATTCAACATTTTAAGTAGTTCCTTAAGCCAGCGGAAAGGAAGGGAGATTGAAGTTGGGAGGTAGGAGTCTGGGTTCGAGTAGATCGGCTACTGATAAGGTAATGGTAAGCTTTGTTATAGTAACAAAATGAAATAAGATATTAAAGCGACCCGGTACACCAGGACAATACGCCGAGGAAGATTCAATGAATTTACAATTTTTGGAAACCGTAATAGTTTGCACGAAGCAACAATAATTGAATGAGGTTGAGCATCCTAAAGAGAATCAAGCAGAGGGGCATGTAATAAGTGGCCTAAAGAGGGGCTCTATCATATCTTTTCATTTGCGTCTTTTCAAGCGATCGAGACTACGTTCGTCTTGAATGCGAGGAAAGGGCGAGGGATAAGACAGCAGCAAGAAGAGATGCGTGGCGTCATTCGTGCACGTGACTCGCCCTTCACGCCTTCGTTGCCCTGCCGCGTGCGTACCCGCGCTTGCCTGAAATCACGCTAAAAAAATGATGACGGTCCCTTAAGCTGTATCATCGACCAAAGTCAAGACATATTTTAAGGCTGAAAGTCACTACTGTGTGGAATGATAAAAACGATTGTCTTCGGGTATGACGTTTGGACGACATTGCGCGGCACCAGCTGGAGTTAGCTAATCAGAATTGAACAAGGTAATTTGATAATATCAACGGCATTAATAACGTAAATTGGTCATCGTAAAGAGTTTCAAAGCTGACGCTCGAAACGTCAGCTCTGAAACTCTTCACGGTGGCCAATCTACGTCATCAACTCAGTTGATAATACCAAATTAACCTGTTATACTCTCCCACCGACGCAGCACCACAGTTTCTTTAGAAACTTACCTCTTTTATTCAATCAGAATTGAGATGATGTTTGTTTATAACCATGATCTTAACTCTTTGTGGTCTTCACCCCAGTCATGTTTCCTGATAATAAGCTTTCTTTTTCTTCTGTAATTCTAGAGGCCTTCATCGACTCTTACTCGCCATGACGTCACCAACCCTGTTCCTCTACGCCGGGGTCTTCTTCTTCTTGATTTATAGCTATGTCTGTGACCTGCCCGTTGAAGACACGACAAAACAGTGTGAATACGACAACATCAAAAGATGCAACGATGAGTTCAAACAGGTGTTCATGAATGCTACGGCCGGAAAACGAGAGACAGGAGTGAGAAATGTTTACTGCACAGCTCTACAGGTCAGTACTAGTGTATATAATTACCCGTGTATATAAATACTAGTAATACTAGTAAATGTCTTCTTTGGCTCAACTCTTACCTCATACCCACGGTCTCTTCACTTCCCCCTACGCTTCCCTCCTCTTGGGAGAGGGGAGAGGAAAAGACCTTGAAACGAGGTTGTTTAAACTAAACAGTCGAACAAGCTGTAACACCATTGGTAAGAGACAATTCCCTTAAGAGGTTCTCATGTATTAACCTTGTAAGCCTCAATATTTGATTAAGGGATTCTCCTTTGTAGATGACATACATTTTCTTGAACATGAATTAAGGGAAAGTTGGTCGGGGAGAGCGGGAGGGAAGGGGAGAGGAGGGGAGGGGAGGG